AACATGGATGCTCCTGGAGAATGTCATCTAAGTGAAGTAGCCAGAAAGAGAAAGAAAAATACCATATGAGATTGCTCATATGTGGAGTCTAAAACAAAACAAAACAAAACAAAAAAACATAAATACAAAACAGAAATAGACTCACAGACATAGAATACAAACTTGTGGTTGCCAAGGGGGCGGAGGGTGGGAAGGGATAGATGGGATTTCAAAATTGTAGAATAGATAAACAAGATTATACTGTATAGCGCAGGGAAATATACACAAGATCTTATGGTAGCTCACAGAGAAAAAAATGTGACAATGAATATATATATGTTCATGTATAACTGAAAAATTGTGCTCTACATTGGAATTTGACACAACATTGTAAAATGATTATAAATCAATTAAAATGTTTAAAAATGTTAAAAAAAAAAGATATCTTAACTGCGTTTCCTATACTTTACTCATGGACCAATTAAAATAGTAAATCAGCTAACAAGAAAATAATTACCATCTATGTGTTTACTTAGAGATTAAGGGGAAAGAATGTGAAATTATTTCATCCCCCTTGGTATACATGTGCACTCTTACACACAGTTGTGTCATCTGGCTCAGATTTACTTCTTCCCTGTATCAATCTGGAGCTTACTGCACGGATGTTAAGAATTGGCTTGGTCCTGGATTTGAGTCTGTGGGTGAAAGCAGAATGGTTCAAGCAGTACTGGAGAGTCAGGGCCTAGAGAGGATAACAGTCAGCCATGGTGTGGTTGAAGTTCACTGGGCTATGGAGCTATGCTCATCTGCTAGGTTCCCAGATGTGGTACTAGGAGAGAAGAAAGTGGGAAAAGTCACAGCATGAAGAGGGAACATGTGTCCTCCTGATATGTTTATGTGTTGGTTGTAGGAGGAGAGAGTTGCTAAAAGGGAAAAGAAATTTATCAAGAGGGGTTTGCATTGCTTCTCAGTGAGGGAGCTGAAGGCATTTGGGATAGGTCAGTCTTTGTAACTTAAGACTGCACTCAGCAGTGTCTGGTATCTGCTCGCTAACTGCCACTGTTTCCCCCATTGTTGTGATCATGGAAAATCTCCCTTCATTTCCCAAATAGCCTCTGGGATGGGGGCAGGGGTCACACATAGACTGCAGGTTGGTGGCGATCATGGACATGGTGTGCTTGGCCCTGACATAGTTTGTAAAACATTTGAATTTGAATGTCCTTTTGTTGATCATTCACTTTCCAGGCTGTCATTGGTTTTTCCACATTTATGGCTCCTGAAGGCACGTGAGTCTACTGTGCTTGGATAAGCAGACCTAAGCTGCAGACTGTAAGGGACATGTGTCCCCAAAGAGCCTCTTTTGCCAGGCTTTCATGGGAAGCTCCCTTCTGCTGAAGAACACGGTTCCTACTCAAAATCTCAAGAGCAAACCAAAGTGCATAGACCCAAATGCCGTCAATGAAAGAAACAAAAGTTATAGTTCAACTTTCTTTTTTTCTTATTTTCTTTTTCTAGAGTTACATGTTATCATGGGCGTCTGCTTGGACATTTTGGGAGGCACGCTATGTGGATATTGGTGTGCAAGGATCATTCAGTTTATATTGAGTGACCTTTTTAGCAATATGCTGACTGATATCATTCTCTGTATTTCGATGGTGTACATGACTTTCTACATTGGTAAGGCAGAAACAGATACAAAAAATGCTGTCCTCAAAGTGAACTTTTTGCATTTTAATTTTCCCTTGTTCTCAGTTCAGTTACTTCTTCCCAACTGCTTCCCCCTTGATGTGGCCCCTCTGTGAGTCTGTTATCATATTATCTCTCCGCTACCTCCAGCTCTTTCCTGGTCTCTCTTAACATCTCTTTGATTTTGACTTCATGTCCCTTCCCTTTGCATTCTTCCATGTTGTTACTCTCTTATTCTTTTTAAAAAAATTTTTTTGGAGGGAATGTAATTAGGTTTGTTTGTTTATTTATTTTTAATGGAGGTGCTGGGGATTGAACCCAGCACCTTGTGCATGCTAAACACACTCTCTACCATTCAGCTATACCGTCCCCTGGCTCTTATTCTTTTTTAACACTCTACTCTTTGACATTACATTCAGTCACTAGCAGTCCCCTGGAAGAGGAATCAGAACTGAGCTGGTTTCTGCTCTTAACCCTTAGCAACCCATCTTTAAAGAGAGAAAGTTGGGAAAGATGCTCCTGAGATGCTCCTCGAAAAGTCGAGCTCAACAGGCTTTAATTCAGGGGGTACCAATTTGAAGGGACTGTAGAAATAGTGGCCCTTACCTGAGGCCAGGAGGCAGGAAAGGAGAGGCAGAAATGCGGTATATCCTTGTCTGGAAGTGATGAGAGTAGAATTATTGTGGGAGTTGGAGAGCCTTCAGCTGGTCGACCTTCAACATTCATATGCTAGTTTAGTCCCATGGGACTGGGAACTAAAGTCTTTCCTGGCCTGACTGAGGTAACCAGTTCCCAAAAGCCATATGTTCCCAAAGTATTTGTGGCAAAATGGCCAAATTCTGCTTCTGCTTTTCCCTTGCACAGTGGAGCAACTTCCACGCATGGGAGACCTCAGGTGTCCAGAGGTTCATTACTCCTCTTTCCCCTCCAGTTACCAACCAGCACTGCTCCCTCCACAGGTAAACTGCCTCTTGTTGTTGCTCACTGCCCTGAATCAGTAAAATTATTGAAAACATTCCCCGAAGGGTCATTTCCTTCAACTTCATTTTTTCCCCTCTCCTGTCTACCTGTTTTAAATGTCTTAAATATTTGAAGAAAAAATTTTAATTTAATATTTCCCATTTTTGTTTTCCCATTGGACCATGAGTTCCTTGAGGTAGAGGCTGTCTCTTATTCATCTTTTTATTTATTCTCTTTTCTGTGTTCCCTGAGTCAAGTCCAGCACTTGCCATATGCCTAATAGTAATTTAATACATGTTGGTTGAATAAACTACTAGTCCTTCAAGAGCTGTGGAATGAGGCAGAGTTGGATTCACCTCTGAGCTTCACAGTTTATTAGCTTGGTGACTTTGGAGTGTTACCTCTCTAAGCTTTAGTTAGTTTCCTCATCTATAAACATGATATACTATAACCTAATTGAGAGGAGCATTGCAGGCATTAATGAAATAATATGTGTTGTGTGACTCACTCATGTTTGTGTCCTGGAGGTAGGACTTCAATTCCAAGAGCTGATTGTTCACATCTCTTCCCAGAGCTGTGTTTAAGTGACATAAGGTTGGTAGCTTGAAATTGTCCATAGTGGGACCATGGAAACTGGCAGATACTACCAACTGGGTTTTTTTTTTTACCCCCCAGATTGCTGCTGTTAAACATTTACCAGCACAACACCAGGCTCAAGGTACGGCAGCCGATAAATGCTGGTTCCCTTCCCCTTTCGTTCTAATTCACGGAGGGGCTCCCGGTCAGTGCTTGAGAGGCCTGGAATACATTCTCCCTCTCAGTGCTCAGAAGGGATCGCTGGTGCAAAGGATTGATCTTGGACCTCTAGCCTACAGACTATGAGGCAATAAATTCCTGTTGTTTAAGACACTTAGTTTGTGGTACTCGGTTACAACAGCCCTGGGAGAAAAACGCCCCTCCCTCCTGCATTACACTTTCCTCTGCTCCAGGAATTAACAGCTTCAGGTAGTTCTTTACTATTATGCTTAATCAGATCCTGACAGCAAAAGTCAGTAACAGACAGTTATAAAGAGAGTTTCCATTGCCAGAAAGCTGAACGTAGGTAAAATTTTTATTTACACGTTACATTTCTGTCATGTTATCTAATTATGTTTTTTTTTTCCTTCGCTGGTGAAACATATTGTTAACTGGCTTAAATCCAGGGAATGTCTGATTGAGGTCAGAGAGTAACCTCCTTGAGCACAGTACAGTCATTTCCATTTTTGTCTCTATTATATTAAATTTACAATACTTGGACTTTCAGAAATCACTTGCATCAGCACATTCATTCTAATAAAGTAAAATAGTCAAAAAAAATTGCACAGACATTACCAGACAAAAGACTCACTGGAACATTGTTGATTGACAGGTAGTGCAGCTAGAAATATTAATATATCAGCCCATGGAAGAAAATTTGAATTTAGTGTCTAGAAGGGAGTCAATGTTATAGATGGTGGGTTATATGAAAGTCTAGGCCAGAGGTACACCAAGAGAGGTGGTGGGGGCGCGGTTTGTCCCAGCAGAAGGAATATTTTGTCAAGTGGCACTGGTCAGAATTTCTGGGGAATGGTGATAATAAAAAGCAGAGGGCTTTTAGGCAATTTTATTGTTTGAAAACTGTCTACAAACAATGCATTCCCTTCTTGCCTGTGCCCGGACTGATTGCTCTCACTGTCTCTTTTTTGTTATGTCATTGATCTCAGCTATAAATGTCAAAGGACTTCAGTCGTCAAGCTAATATTTTTCTAGTTAGGAAACATCCGTTCCTGAATCCTCTTGTTTTTAGGAAACAAAATCTCCTAGTAGGAGGACCTTCCCTTTTTCTAAACCAGAGAGAGAAAGAGACAGAAGTTGAGAGAGCTGCTTTCCCATGACATCAGCCTTCTGTGATGGTTTCTTTCCATTGAGTCAGGAAAACTTGACAGCTCTATTTTTAACCTCTTGGGTTTATGCTGATGAAAATTACTTTCTTTATTACATGTTCCATGACATCCCCCCCACCCTCAACTTCTTGAACATTTAAAATATCATTTAACATAATAGCACTTGGAATTTCTCAAAGACTGTTTTTCTAATTGTAAAAGTAGTACATGTTCAGTGTAGAGTTTAGGAAAAATTCTGGAAAGTCAAAGAAAAAATCTAAACCAATGTTGTAAATTTAACCACTGACACATTTTGGTGCATGTGCTTAGCCTTTAACAAATACAGATACATGTACATACATGTATTAATGTATGCATTCACACCGTGTATTCGTGTAACATTGGGATTATACTAAATGATATCAGTTTTAAAATAAAGTTATTTTGTGGTTTTCTCATAACAGATGTTGTCTCTAGGTAGTGACTGTTGGTGAAAAAAATGAGCTTTAAAATCCCATAGTATGAGTTGTAGGGAATTGGAAGTAAGATTGCAAGAGTTCCTCTATCCTCACAGCTCCCAGTACCACTGGTTTTACTGTCATTGTCTATTTATATTAAATTCAGTTAAATAAGTAGGTAAAAAGAAATCTAAAGTGGATTTAAGTAAACTAGATAAACCAAAGGAATAATAAAATCCCCTTCAAATTAATAAACGGCATAAATTTACCAAGCAGTGAAGTGAACATATAAAAATAATTAATAGCATGACAACAGTGATTATCATTTATTCCTTGTTTTAAAGATGTGCCAAGCACTCTTCATGTTATCTAATTTTATCCTCACAACAACTCTATGAGGCATTCTTCTTTTACACCCATTTTGCAGATGCAGGGGCACTAATGGGGAAAAGGGATGTCACAATCCCTGAGCAGCCAGCTCAGCCCTGCTCCAAGGGCCTTCCACTCCTACCTTGCGTCTTTTTTCCCTTCCTGTGTCTGACATTTATAATGTGCTAGTTGAAGGTTCTGCAGCCTAGTACTGTTGGAATTCACAGTGTTCAGACATTCATAGTTGGTTTTCCTGCCCCAGACTACATTTACATATTTGTTTAGAGCCCAAGGGATCACAATTTTAGGGGCGTCTGTACCAGGCAAAAGAACAGCAAGCTTCAGGACCTGCAGCCCCATGCAAACTCTGAGCTTGGACCACAACCCCTAGGACATGCTGCAGAGTGTCGCGGAGATGCTGGGCAGAGGCATTTAAATTTATTTTTCACTAGCCCTGTCCTCAAGGACGGTCTATGGCAAGGGGTTGGCAGACTAGAGCCTGTGAGTCAAATATGCCTATTTTTTGTATAGCCCATGAACTAAAAATGGTTTTCACATTTTAAAATGCTTTTTAAAAAAACTCAAAAAAATATTTTGCAGCAATTCAGATTTTGGTGTCTTTTATTATTGGACAGTCATTCATTTATGTATTATGTAGGCCACTTGTGCACTGGACCGGCTGAGTGGAGTAGTTGCAACTGGGGCCACAATAGCCCCAAAGACTAAATATTTACTATATGATCCTTCACAGAAAAGGCTTGTCAACCCCTGATCTAAGGATTAGGCCAGTCACTTAAAACAACTTTCCAAGAAATACTACCAGTCTTTTAAGTTTCCCAAAAATTCTTCACTCAAGATGAAGCAGCTTAGTGTGCGGATTTCAAAGCAACTAATTTTATTCTTTTTTTTCCTCCCCAGTGGAATTTTTAGGAATGTCCGGTATGGTTGCTTTAATCTCTGTAGGACTGAATTTAGATTCCTTAAGCTTTAAACCGAGGATCGAGCTAGTAATTACTAAGTAAGTCTCCTGTTATATACTTTGTATAGATCTCATAGAAGTTTAGTGCTTAAGTGGTCCTGTCCTCATGGACACTAATAGAATTCATTTTTAATAACTTTTAAAAAAACTTTTCATTTTAAATTTTACTACAGGTTATGCTTGAAAAAAACTTCAGCTACCGACAATTATTGACATTAATTGATACTCCTGTTATGGATAATGTATCAGTGGCTCAGAGATCATGGTGCTTTTTATATGTAACTCTTTGATAAAAATTTATTTTGAACTGTGGAAAGTTGGAAAAATACTTTATTCCTTTGTTTCCTTTGAAACATACCTGGATGACAATATCCTAACATGGGAAGAGCTAGAAAAGGAAAGTAGCAGAAAAAAATGCAAACCCAGCAAAACTCCAAGGTGTCATATGGACATTTGTAGACAGAGGGAAAGCCATTTGCTTGTCTTCTCAGACAAATGAGTTAGCCATTCTCTGAGAGACTGTGCTAAATCACAGAAGTGTTTTAGAATTATTTCACACCAAATCGTAATCTAGTGTAGAAATTCTCACTGGGGCTGAAAGCGAATGTTGAAATGAGAAAAATAAGCCATTACCCTGAGTTTTCCCATGAAAACTCATTGCTTTGATATAAAAGACTATTATTCATCATTCTGAATTTACGTCCTCCCTACTTTTATGTTGTTTAAAAATGTCATTTCTTTTATGAAATTCCATTGATAGAAGACTTCACTTTTTAAAATATATATATAACTCTACTTGGCAAAATGAAAAAATTGGTACCTGTAACTTAGTCAAGTTTTGTGTGTATATGAATGACACTTACTTTACTGGTTTTTAAAACCTAGAAACTTGGGAATAACTACTAGTTGACAGAACATATACTTTTTGTCTGTGTTTAGACAATTTCCTGAGCTCAGTCATGCTGTCAGCATCATTATAAGTTACTCATTCTATTCATTAAATTATTTATTCCTTCATCTATTTGATGAATCCTTTCTTAATGTCATCTGTGGCCTAGATGTTGTATCTTAGGTTTGGGGCCATGACAATAAGTTCCTTCTCAGAAGATGCTAATTGTTAAGTGGTGGACATGTGTATGGAAGAACATGGTAATTAGTGTAAATAATTGTATGTTTACTGGGATCTTACTATCTCTAAGGCATTTTTAAAGATCTGTGTAGACATTTTAAAAAGTATTCTACTCGGTTTTTCCATCATTTCTGAATTTTTATAAAACTAAGCTTTACGGTTTGAGGTTCCAACTCATAGCCTTTCCTTCTAGGAGTTCTAATCAGTTGAATCAAGAGACGGGAGTCAGACAGAGTGTCAGATTATCTGTTTGATTGGAATAATGCTGTGTAAGAGAACATGGTTTATATCTGCAGCTAGAAAAAGGATTCCTAGTGCTTCTTTCCCAGTGTAGATCTTGAGACCTATCTATAGGGAGACTGGTTTTAGGGACAGATATAGTCACCCAGTCATATGAAAGGGAACATGTGAATCGAGGGGACCAAGAAGAGGCAGAACTTGAGATCCACCTGTAGAAGTCAGGCCTGGCCCTGACCCAGGTGTGTTAGTTGCCTCGTGGAACCAGAGCAGCCCCATGCCCTAACTGCTGTGCTCTGGTCTACTCATAAAGAATCTTTGGGAGTGGGGCTAGACTTGTAGATTTTTGGAAGACAATCTGGGTGATTCTAATGCTCTTCTCTGCTGAAGAACCATGGTGGGGTAGACAATCTGCATGTGAGGATTTGGAGGAGGATCACTTACAGCAAGAGGGCTTAGGGTGGTTTCCTGAAGAACATGGGATTAGGGTTAGCCGTTTTAACAAAGTCTTTAGGAATTGAGTAGATGAGGAAGCAGATAGAAGAGACTTTCAAGGTAAGGGACTTTCATGCCAATCACAAAGGGAGAAGTTGTGCAGAGGGCATGGAGGGGATCCAGGCAGCTATCACAAAGTCAAGGTTAACCAGGGGCTCCTTGTGGCAGCCTCAGCTGTGGCCAGCTGGACAGTTGATATGCTGCCCACTAATCTCAGCAAAAGTGCCACGTCACCAGCTTGGAAGGTGGGGACCCTTATTTTTCTGTCTTGCTCTTACTATTCTGCTGTGAAAGGCAGCCCACAGGCATTGGTGTGATAAGGGTAATGGGGGATATGAAACTGGGTGTATTTTAGTTCCAGTAAAATACTTTAATTTTATTTTAATTAGTTAATCTTTATTTAGATATAGTTGACTTATAATATTATAATAGTTTCAGTTGTACAACATAGTGATTCAACATTTTTATAGATTATACTCCATTCAAAGTTATTACAAAATAATAGCTATATTTCTCTGAGCTGTGCTGTACAATATGTTCTGGTTGCTTACTTATTTTATACATAATAGTTTGTATCTCTTAATCCCATGCCTCTACCTTGCTCCCTCCCACTCCCCTCTCCCCACTAGTAACCACTAGTTTGTTCTGTATATTTGCGAGTCTGTTTCTGATTTCAGCAAAATGCTTTTAAATGTTAATTGTAACAGTGATGGAGGCAAGGACCTCTGCTAAGACAAGAATGGAAGATATGTGGTAGATGCTTTTATGTGAAAAGAAAACTATTTAAGAAACACATTGCTTAAAATGTGATTTCCTTTCCATTTATTCTAGGATTCTAATGATGTTTTCATGTGTATATCAAGATTTAATATACACTTTCTTTGGCATTGTAATTGGATGTGGAGAAACTGGGTATTTTACATTCCACACTTTAGTTTTCATGTTCATCTTATTTGCAACAGTGAATTTTGTAAGGTAAGAATTATATTTTAAAGTTTGCTTACTGGACTTAGGTGAGTTATAGCAAAAAACAGCTCTGGACATGCAGTCAGGAATCCTGTATTGCTGTCAAGGTCCTGATAGTGGTTGCTGCGCAGTTGAGGGAAAGTCTGTTTTCTCTTCAAGGTTCCATCTGTAAAATAAGAAGGGGCAGAACAGCAGCATCAGCATAACCCATGAGCTTGAGGGAAATGCAAATTCACGGGCCCGTCCCAGTTTGCTGAATTCAGTCTCTGGAGATGAGATCCAGGAAACTGTTTCAACAAGCTTGTTAAAGTCTGAGCACCACTGGACCAGATTAATGCTGCTAACATCTTGTTGACTTTCATCCTGTATTATCATCGTAACTATGATAAAGCCATTTATTAAGCACTAACCATGTACATTATACCATTAATATTAATACAACCGTATGAGCTAGGTGCTATTACATCTTTTCACAGATGAAGCCTAGAGAGGTTAAACACTTGCCTGGAGACACCCAAATTGTAAGGACAGAGTTGGGATTTAAACTTGACTCTCCTGAGCATGCTTTTTCTAGAATGACATTGCCCACAAGTGACAGTTGTGTCTTCCAGAAGAATTCATGACAGCGTCTCCAAAAACATTGGCCTTTCTACTCAGGATAGGCCTGGCTGAGAGAGCTTACTTATAAGATGTTCTCACGGAGCATTGCTGCTGCTGACTCTGGAAGCACTGCATGTGATTCAGATAGTCCCTCTCACACAGAGGGATGTGTAGACAATTTACGTTTCTTTCCACTGTCTTTCCACCATGGGAGTGCAAGTGGAGGTTGAGGTTGGTCACAGTGTGTGGAGAAAGATACGTGGCTTTTTGCAGATTGTTTGACTCAGCTATGCATCCATTATCTCATTTCAACTTCACAACGGCACTGGGAGATAAGAATTATTATCTCCATTATATAGATGAAAAAACTGAAAGGCAAAGGGCTGTGCCCAAGGTCAAATGGCTAGTGAGTGCCAGAGATCTTGTGTGGACTTACAGTCCTACCTCACTAGAGAAGAGGCTTTAATGGAGGGAGTCATCGTAAGGGGCCCTCAAAGTAGGGGTGGACTTTCCGTAAGAGACTTGTTGAGAAAAGCATTTCAGAGAAGATGAGCCAAACGAGGCATGGACGTAATAATCCTTGCTAACATGTATTGAGTGCTGACCACGTTCAAAACATCATTCTGGGCCCTGTGAGTGTTGCCTCATTTAATTGTCTCTTCATAAAGGTCCTTCAAAGCAAGTGCCATTATTATTATTATCATCTCCATTTTATAGAGGAAGAACTGAGGCTTAGAGAGATTAAATAACTTGCTTAAGTTTACATAGTAAAAAAAAAAAAGTCTAAATTTAAAACCAGGTAGACTAACTCCAGGGTCTTTGCTATACTGCTTCTCTGTTTTTGAGATCAGGAAATGATGTAAGTTGTCCTATTTTGGCTGGACTCAATGGTATCTTAGAGAAAGATCCTTTAGTAAAGTTGAAAATTTCAATAAGCATTACTTTGCAAAAGGCTAAAATGCAAGGCAGAGGAGATTGCCCAAGTTAATTATATACATTATAGGTGGTAAATTGTAGATTTTCTGTTTTTCAATGAGAAAAATTCTCTAAATTGTCTTAAGAAATTCCCACTAAAAAACTGATACATAACGTAATTTTTGAAGCTGAGAACATGTCAGTTTTATTTCTGCTTAAATCTCCTTTGAAGGACAGTACTGATGTTTTTTTGGTGCAGATCTCCTAAAGATAGAATCCAAATTTTGGCACAGAGTCTTGTAGGAAAATGATCTGTAGAGAAAGGAAGCAAAAACCGAAATTATTTATGTGACATTTAATGTATGATTCTTGTGGGAGCTCAAGAAAAATTTGATTAAACAAAAGTTATTAATGTGTCTACAATAATTTTACTTTTTGACCATGATCTACCTACCTGTTGGCCCTCCTGGTCTAATTTCTGAATGCAGTCATGGCCTTCCAGGGAGCTTGTCAGTGATACTTGGAGAAGTTTCCCTGCAGGAATTTACTACCAAAATCCCAAACAGTACACACTAGTGTTAGTAATAATTCTTTATATTTGTACAGAACTTCTAGCGTTATTTTTCAAGAGTTGAGTATTAAGTGTAAAATTTAGATAGTAGATTTGGTTAGTTCCAGAGAGTTTGTACAGCTGATCAATAAACTGGATTGTCTGAAATTTTTTATAAGAAATTTAAGAAATTTAGTATTTACTGCATAGCTTCAACATAAATAACATTGATACATATGGTGTGATTTAAAAACAAATGTTTTTCTTTCCACAGGTTACTTACTGTTGTCCTACTGAACCCTATTCTGAGGCATTCCAGTTATGAGTATAACTGGAGATGGGGCATTGTTATAGCGTGGTCTGGAATTAAGGGAGTTTTTAGCTTACTCTTGGCTCCTGATGTTCATAATCTGGCTGAAGAAATAATAGAGTCACCACAGCAGGTAAGAAAAATCATGTCCCATGATTATTCAGTTTTATTCATTTTTATTTTATTTTTTTTGTAGTGCTTGTCATAGTACCCAGTAATCAAGTTAACCATTTAAAAAAATTTTTTTTATTGAAGTATAGTCAGTTTACAATGTTGTGTCAATTTCTGGTGTACAGGTTTACCATTTTTAAGATTAGATTTGAAAAATGCATTCTTTTAAGTAGAAAGGAACTTCTGGAGGAAAGTTTACTTATGCTGACAGCGTGAAAGGGACCAAGAATCAAGTAATGGTCATGGGTGTGGGAGTCAGATGAGCCTGGGGTCAAATGCAGGCTCCACTGTTCACAGGCTGAGTGGCCCTGGGCAAGCTCCCCAGACTTGTGAAGCTTTGGTTTCCAGTTGAGGATTGAGATGATGCTCAGTAAAACACCTGACACTTAGTAAAAGCTTAGTCAGTGTTATTGGACATATAAATGCAGTTTTTCAATAGCTGTCAAAAGCATGAAAAAAAAACCCTATCTAGAATATTCCAATCCCTATAGCTATTAGAGCAAAAACTGAAATGCTCATTAAATATACTATGGAAAGAAAGATTTTTATAAATGTTTGAATTAAAGATCTAGTTATATTTATGTCTTTTAGAGCTAATTAAAAAATTAATTTCTTGAAAAATTTTGGCTGAAGCCTACATTATCCATAGTGAAAAGCAAAACTTGGTTTCCTTTCCATTCTCTCGCAAAGCTTTTCTCCTATGCGCTAGCCAGTGGATTTCTGGGCAATCTGATGGTGGCAGCATCGGGGACACTGAGACTCGAGGGAAAGTCCAAAGAGCCCAGAGCATCTGCTGACAGCATTAGGGTACCTCATAATTTGTGAAGTATTAGCTGGAGAAGTTGTTAGAAGTTTCTAGAAATCCTCAGGACACTCCTGCCACCTCCCAGTCAGATAAATCCCAAACCTGCTCCTAGGAGGGAGAAAAACACTTAAATAATGTAAATTAGGAACACTACCCATCTCCCAAGGAACTTTAATTTGGAGGTAGATGTCCAGAGTTTCCTGGTATTATCCAATTTCAAGTTCAGGATTTTCTCTTCTTTGCTATTTCACTCCTCTCCTCGAAGACCCCGGGAGTACAGTACTTTTCCAAATATCTTTTCTAGGGAGAGCAACTGTCACCTTCTCCATCTTGCATGTGGAGAAATCAAAACAAAGAGAATAGCATGTTAGTAAAAGAACTCAGGTGCCCCAATTACCCAAAGAGGAAGTGCTTATTTTTAATGGTGCTTCTTTTTTTTTTCTCAATGGAGTATCATACTCCTCACTTTTAAGTTGGTGCTTCTTTTTTTTTTTTTTTCTCAATGGAGTATCATACTCCTCACCATCTTTACTGAGGATTTACACTTCATATCTGGGGGCAGGGTCTGAAAATTAATTTGGAGTTCAAACACACCCGTGGTTTTGCAGAGACTTTGGGTTCTTCCATGTTCCTAGAGGAAAAGGATGATGACCAGTATCTGAGCTCCTTCCGTTTTCCTTTGTGCGAGGCATTGGCCCAAGCCCAAGTCAACGAAATGTTAACAAACACTTGAGTGTCATTTTACAGTGTTCCCCAGATCTGTGCGATATTAAGAACTCCTTGGAGGCATCCCACCCCAGACCTACAGAATGAAAATCCGCAGGGAGGAAGCCCGGGAGGCTGTGTCTTTCAGAAGGACTTCGGGTGCTCACTGTAATCAGTGAGCTCTCGGAAGAAATGCTCTCAGAAGAACATACTGCTGTTCACTCCGTTTTTCAGTGAGGAACCTGAGACTCTGAGTGGTTAATTGGGCTCAAGTTGCATGGCTCGTAAACGGCCGAGTCAGGATCTACAGATGTGGCGGTGCTTCTGCGGACCCCACCATGGGTCCTGACTGCTGCTTCACAGCTTCTCGAGTGGCTGTGGTAAATGCTGGCGGCGGGGCACTTCCCTGTCCCGCCGTGGTCACCACGGCCCGCTCTTGCTCTTGCTGGGGCTCCTCCCGGGCCCCGCCAGGCTCCACGGCCGCCGCGGCGATGCTGCTGCTGACGGCGGCGCCTGGGGACCGCTCTCCTCTCAGTGTCCGCCCCCCGCCCACAAACTGCAAAATCGATCTTCTTCTCATTCTGGTTGAAAACTAATTTCTGCCCCAGTAGATTATATTCAAGCAGTGCCCACGAAACAACCCTTTGCCTCTACTTACTTATCAGAGGCAGGATTGAAAAATGTGGGTTAAAGTAGGATTTTGCTGGTGGTTAATTTGAACAGTGATTCCCTCTGGAGAACTTATTGATGTTTTGATTCTGACTCTGTGTTTTGTTTTTCAGTTTATATTGTATGTACAAGTGATATCATTAATGACTATGGGAATAAATTCATACATGATGACTCGTTCAGCCAGGACATTAGGTAAAATATGTCTATCCTTCATTAATTAACTGGGGAGAATAATGCAAATAGATTATTGTTGGGGATGGTGGGACATTTCTTATGGAGCTCAAGGAATTGATCATGAAATCATGCACTTTCATTCACTCACTATTTATAGATGATGTATTAATTGGAATACTGATTCAGCCAGTTTAACAGAAACCACATTAACGGTGGCTTAAACAAGACAGAGATTTGTTTGTTTGTTTGTTTTTCCTCCACCAAAAAGTCCAGGAGAGTGGAATGGGTCTCCCCCACAAGGTTGTCCAGAGATCTCAGATCCCTCTCGTTTATTGGTCCTCCTCTTCTTGGGGTGCTCTATTGTCTGCAGGGTAGAAGCTAGCTCAATGCGGTCAATAGGAAGGGAAAATGGCGGGTGGGTGGTGGTGATGGTGGTGATGTTGGCCATGGAGGGTAAGCAGCTTCCTTTTGAGGGCATAATGCAGAAGTTGTGTATGTCATTACCACTCCCATTCCATTGGCCAGAGCTTAGTCACATGGGCACCCATGGGTAAGGGAAGCTGGGAAATATTATCTTGACCTGACTGGCAACGTGCTTAGCCAAAACTCAGAGACTCTGTTGGTAAAGGAAGAAAGGGAGAATGGGTGTTGGGAGCAACCAGCAGGCTCTGCCAGAGTTGCCTATTTCTAGAAAAAAATTGAGGCTGTTGATGATAAAATACGTAAATATAATAAAGTCACAAACAGACCCATGATCAATAGAGAAATCTAGGATAAGATAACCAGTGGCGATGGAGTCAAGGAGGGAAGAGAGAGGATGGGGTGGGATTAAACAAAGTCTTAGAGTAGGACCTTTGTATTTTCCAGTATCCCGTGGCCTGGTCCTCAGCTTTGCTGCTTTAGAGAACTGATTCTGTCAGGGTATCTAGAATTGATGAGACTAATGGAAATTTATATACACTACACTCATAGGAGAATATAGATAAGGCAGAAAATCAATTTATTAATTTATAATGAGGATGATTTCTTTCTATGTGTGAAATAATTGTGATCATTATTCAGAGTGTTGGCCTCTACTGATTTCCTTGATAAATCAAATAAGTAATCAGAAAGTTTCTTGGAAATCATAGAACTAATGAGAGGTCGGTGAAAGAGTAATGTTGAAGGAAGATTCTTATAAACAGAGAAACAGTCTGGTGAATTTCCCATCTCTGCTTGTGCCTTTTCACTGTCCTGCCCACTCCTGAAACCATGCCCCATCAACACTGCTGCAGAGCTTCCTGCAACAGCTTTACTGCAAAGGCAAGGGCTCCAACTGTGCATAGGGCTAGTAAATGGGGCAGATTTTTTGGCATACTCGTGTTTCCCCAGAGCAACTGCAAAGTGGCTTTTGCTCCATCTTAATGAGAAGGATGTAATTAGGCAAACGAATAAACTTTCTCCTTGGGTGCTCCCAGCTGCCAGAATTTTAAATCCAAAGCTGACACCTTCTAACTCTTTATTAAGCATGAGGTCAAATGCATCTTTGCTCTGGACCATACAGAATTGAGAGGGATATGACTCCAGACCTTTTTGAATCCTCGAAATTTCAAATACTACTGTTGCCTAGTGTCCTGTAGAGAATGCAATAAAGTTAAACTGAAACATTTAGAAACATTTTTTTAACTCTTTATGAGATATCTCATACGCAGTTAGGAAGAGAGAACAGTTTATTGAGATGGAATTCTGAATGAGTAGGCTAAGCTCAGTCACTAATTAACTTCTTTTTGGTAAGCGAGCCTGATAGCTATAATCTCAGATTCATACTTCAAGACAATACAAACTGCTGCAAGTTTTGGGCATGCAGATTTTCTGGTCAGGAAACATGTTAAATTTGAGGGATCTCTATTGCAGTGGCCTTTACATTTTATTGTGTGTAAGAATCAGTTGGAGAACTTGTTAAAAATGCAAATTTCCAGGACAATCTGGTTCTCCAGATATGGGATGGAGCCCAGGAATTTGCTTAGTTTAATAAGCAGCCCCTCTACCATAGAAGACACAGCTAGTTTTCCATACCTTGAGAAATACTGATGGAGTGCCTTGAAGCAGTGAGTCTTGTCTCCAGCTGTAGGAAATGAAAAGAAACTAAGAAAACATTCTTTAGCAGTTGAGTCAGATAAAGCACAGCTGAAAGGAAATGGATAGCTGGGTGATTTTCTGCAAAATTTTGGACAAAAATTGTCCTTGCTCTAAGCACTCTGGGTTGGCTATGCAGGTAATGCCAGGATTTCCCTACATCACGCAACCCTTTTGCTTCTCTGTGCAGTCTTCACTGTATTCTGTTAAGGTCCTCATTCTTCTTTGTCACAGGTTTGTGTGCTCTCTCCCTTCAAAGACAAATGGCCATGCAAAACGCCATTAAGCACATCCAGGAGATGATACAGAACAGAATAGCTTTGTGTAAAACAGAAAAAATTTTGACAAATGTTAATTGGACCTTAGTAGAAGAAAAAACAAAGATTGAATACATCATTCCTGTGAGTTGATACCTAGCAAGAAATAGTCCTTTCCCTCCCTGGGTCTGCATCTCTTTCTCTAGTTTATTGTAAAAAACTTGATTCTGCTAGTTCCATGTCAGAAAACTGAAGGGGGGTATATTTACTAGTTTTGCTGTACTTCTTTGTATTCTGTCTCTACAGAGAAGGTCTTGTTGATCTGGTAATATTTCCCAAATACAGGAGAATTGGTATTTTTACACACTGGCTGGTGGAGTAACTATGAATAGCCTCTGCCAAGGTGATGTTTCCAATTGGTTGAAGAAGTGAGAGATCTCTCCCTGTATAAGTACTATGAGAAGTAGAAAACACAGGCTGCTTCAGAGAGCAGTCAAGCGTAGACAGGTTTGGAGAATTTGGTTTCTAAATCTCCCCAAATGAATAGTTACTTCGCCATAATTGAAAGCAACATTTCCCATAGGAAGAATGTTATTTACATACACAGCCCTACATTTTAGTGATTCAGATTTGAATTACTGGAATCTTTGTTGAGCAAAGCATTTAACAGCTTCTAATCATTTTTACTTTTTAAAAAAAAACTTTGTATGTTTTTCTTTTCTTTTTTGTATGTTTTTCAACTTAGTCTGATACTGTTCAGGTTCCCTGTGTTTCGTGTGACAAAGAAGCAAAGGAGGAGTCCCCAACAGATGAAGATTTAATAGGAGAAGCCAGATTGCATGTAGCTATAATACAAATGGTTGGTACTCCTCACATTATCTGCTTTTTACTTATTGTTATTTTTGCAATTCTTACATGTGGTTTCTAGGTGACTAGAAAAAATTTTTTTTCACCTTTTGATTGGTTGTTAAAATATATGTTTGATTTATTAAAGTTGAAAAATAAAAATAAAAAATCTCTTAGACTTTAAATTCAAGTCACAAATCTTATTATTCTGTTTCTAAGTTTCTAATTCTTATTATTCTAGTAAATTTTAGCAGCTCATTTTTGAGTAGTCTTGAATGATGTTTGGTGCCATTTACATACTTAGTTAATCAAACATCTCCAAATATTTGAAACTGCTTTTATAAATTTAACATATTTGAGTTCCTTTTATAGAAAATTCTCCCAAGTGCTTATTTAACTCTTATAAATCTAAAAAGTTAAAATAAATCTAGTGAATCAAAATTCTCTTAAAATATTTAAGACAATGTTTAAATGTTGTAATATAGACATAGAAAGATTACTAGGTAAAATCAAGTTTGAATCAACCCTTGATTTTTGGGACCCTTGTTATAATGACTTACCACGTTTACTTTTAAACCAACAATTCCATATAGTGACTGACTCCGTGTTATTTTTTTTAAAAATCAAAATATAGTTGATTTTCAATATTGTGTTAGTTTCAGGTGTACAGTATTGTGACTCAGTTATTTTTTTCAGATTATAAGTTTTTATAAGATACTGAATATAATTCCCTATACTATACAGTAAATCCTTGTTACTTTTCTATTATATATATGATAGTTTGTATCTGTTAATCCCATATTCCTAATTTGTCTCTCCCCTCTTCCTCTCCCCTTTGGTAACTATAAGTTTGTTTTCTATGTCTATTTTGTATCTATATTCATTTGTATTATTTTTTTAGATTCCACATATAAGTGATGTCATATGGTATTTCTTTCTCTGACTTATTCACTAAGCATAATATTCTCTATTTTGTTGAAAATGGCAAGATTTCATTCTTTTCTTGTAGCTGAATAATATTTATGTATATACACATATACACCACATTTTCTTAAGCCAATTTCCTATTAATGGGCACTTGGGTTGTTTCCATGTCTCGGCTATTGTAAATAGTGCTGCTATGAACATTGGGGTGCATGTGCCTTTTCAAATTAGAGTTTTTGTTTTTTCTGGATATATACCCAAGAGTGGGGTTGCTGGGTCACATGATAACTCTATTGTTTAGTTTTTAAGGAACCTCTATACTGTTCCCCATAGTAGCTGCACCAATTACA